CCTTCCATGTTCTCATGCGTACACACACCGCCATGGTCCTCGCACCCGTGGTCTCATAGTTAAGAGTGGTCGAGGAGATTGACTTTAGCGGAGTGGTGGGTATGGATGTGGCAATGGCTGGTGGTGTCTCCTCATCATCCATGGCCTCCTCAGACACTGAACTCAGCAGGCAAAGTGTGCTCTTGGGATCTAGTTTTCAGCATAATGGGAGTGGCTCTGAAGCCGCGGCCCATGACATGAGATGCGTCAAGATGGCTCCTGTCCTCATACCCAACCCCGGCCCCCTCTTCCCTGATGGAGAGCAAATGCTTAGTTTCTCCTCAGCATCCGGGCAAGCCTCAATGATGCTCAACCTGGATAGAACTTTGCCTTACCACCAACACCACCCATCAGCATCTACTTCTTCTACATCTTCATTTCTCAGGAATGCAGGTAACTTGCATTAAATATATGCCTATAGTTCGGTGTTTCGGGTCTTGTTGGAGTGAGCTGGGGTTTTTGGTGGTCTGGTTTTGGTTTGGCATGGGTTTCAGTCGAAGCACAAGAATGTGTTGTTTGGTAAGTGGTCTCTTTGATTCCAGTACTTGCTACAAGATGGACTTTGATGGCTTTTTTTTTACCATTTAGTCAGGATTCGTGCCTTGGAAAAAAGCAAGCTGTTCTTTGTCCTCCTCTGGTTGGGTTTTGTCTTCAAAGTTGTGGATTTGGGCAGTTCGAGTCTCTCTTTCTTCTCATGCAAGAAAGAGAAATGAGCAGGGTAAAGAGCAAATGCAAGAGCCTTTCTTGATTCCGTTCTTGAGTCTCATTATCCCTAATTGTTTCTTTGGAGAAGAATCATGAGCAAGAGTGGGGAAATGGAAAAAAAATGATCCATTCGGTTCAGCTTGATCTGCTTCATTGAGTGTTGCAGGCAAGAAATGCATGTTTTGATCTGTGACCCTTTTTCTCCTTCGAGAGCTCTGTTCCTATGTTCTCTACTATGGGTAATTTTAAGATCTGTTCATTTCTTTGTCCCTGTTGTCTTTTGCATCTGCTCTCTCATCTGCTATGGTTTTAGCTCCTGCGTTTCTTCTCACTTTTTCTTCTTCTTCTCTTTGTTTTTGTTTGATTTCAGGGTTGGATTCAGGCAACTTTGATGTGAACATGCATGGAGTGAGGGGGCCCTTCGCGCCATCTCAGTGGCTGGAGCTCGAACGCCAAGCCTTGATCTACAAGTACATTGTTGCATATGTGGCCATACCACCCAACCTTCTCATCCCTATTAGAACAAGTCTAAGCCCTTCTGGGTTTTCTCCCTTCTCAGTTGGATCCTTTGGCTCAAGCACATGTAAAGCATTCCATACCCAAGAGAAAGATATGTACAAGAAATGAACATAAGACAATTTTTTGGCATTACTTAATCAACCCTATTTGACTGATTTCTCAACAAAAAAAGGGATTTTTTTTGTTTTTTTACTTTGTGAGAATTTCATAGAAAGTAAAATTATGTTTGGTAACAGGTGAACTTGAGATGCTTATTCTTGCAAACTGTTTTTACCACAAATATTTGTTCTTTTTGTACCTTATTTCGTTAAATGATATCTGAAATTTCTAAAGAATCTAAAGCATTACCTTGAAGGCCTAAATCATTCTTACTTTGGTTCCTTAATCAACCCTATTTGACTGATTTCTCAACAAAAAAAGGGATTTTTTTTACTTTGTGAGATTTTCATTAGTCATTAAAATTATGTTTGGTAAACGGTGAACTTGAGATGCTTATTCTTGCAAACTGCATGTTTCTACGAGATGCTTATTCTTGCAAATTGCATGTTTTTACCACAAATATTTGTTCTTTTGGTTCCTTATTTTGTTAAATGATATCTAAAATTTCTAAAAATCTAAAACATTACCTTGAAGGCCTAAATCATTCTTACTGTTCTTCTTTTAATAAATGTGATCATGTTTTTTTCTACTTTCACAAAAGTTTCATAAAAAACACTCACAATGTTATAAGCTCTGTTACACTAAGTTCTATCATGGCATGACCAGCTCCACTATACTTTTATCACTTGTGCAGTGGGATGGGGATCATATCATCAAAGATATACTGGAAATGATGATCCAGAACCTGGTAGATGCCGTCGAACGGATGGGAAGAAATGGCGGTGCTCAAAGGATGCTGTTGCCGACCAGAGGTACTGTGAGCGGCACCTGAATCGGGGTCGCCATCGTTCAAGAAAGCGTGTGGAAGGCTGCACTCGCCATGGCTCGGAAGCCATAGCCATAGTACCTCTGCAGTCTGCTTCTGCCATTTCTGGCAGCAGAACATCTGATAATCTCCCCACTTCACAGCACCAGGCTGCAAACTTAGAGACAAACATCAATGGCTGTTGCCCTGCACAGTTTGATAGGTAAAAAGACGACAACTATCACTAATATTCCAAATGGCTTTGATAAGTCTTGAAATCTAGATGTTCATTGTTTTGTTCAATCCAAATGGCATGGATAAGTTTAAGGGAACAACATTATACTATGCGTTATTATAATCTCAGAATGTTTTTTTATTCTTATAGCTGCTATTTTAGCCATAGTAAATAGTGATGAATCATCTTGAAGTACTGATGGCAGTTTGTACTGATGATGCTAAAAAGGGTGGCAGTCAATAGATTGGCTTGAAGGATTTTGTGAAGAGAAATTGCATATGGATGTACCCATGAGAAGTTTCTTGGACGTGTCAATATATTTCAGCATTATCACATAAAGAAGGCTATCACATGCAAATTACTTGTTTTTGTTCTACATTTTCCATCCTTGTTCCATAATGCATATATTACAAACACAGCTATGTTGATAAATACCATAAATTACTTGTCTTTTGGAAAATGTAGGACTTAGAATATTTAGATTTATTTTCAGAATAACTTCTTTGGTTAACGAGAATTATCTGGAGGATGCACAGATGACATAGATGAAATGAGATCTTACTTGGACTTCTTTCCTAATTTTTCAGTTTTTACTACACTAAATTGGCAGCATACAGGTATCCAAGTTGCTTCTATAACATGTAGTTCTGATACACTTTTATCTTTCATTATTAATCCTTGATCAATCTGGATCTGCAGGATGCCAATGAGCAAAGGAAATGTAAATGAGCGTGCACAGGAATCTGAAGGCCTCTCCATGCGAGGCTTTTTGAGATCAAGACCCATGAGTGACTTATTTCCAGTATCAGAGGAACATAATCCCTTTGAAGAGACCCCATCTGGAGTAAAACTTGGGCACGTTTCCATGGATTCGCTTTTTAATGATTCAAGTAGCACCTCCTCAGATAATATCAGCAGCTATATCACCACTGCAAATCTCAATGATCAGCAGAAGAGACCCCATCCCCTTCAATGCTTCAACGATGAGTCTGATCATTCAAATATATCCTGGTCTGGGGTAGAAATGCAATCTGATAGAACCCAATCGTCTATCTCGTTCCCTATGGCTTGTTCTCCCTGCAATTCATCAGCAGAATATGATCCCATCAATGTAGGTCTGAGAGTTGGTGTACCATGCAAAGTAAGCAAATGTCAAACTGGTTGGTTACCGATCTCCCCGGAGTCTTCTATGGCAGGACCGCTAGGAGAGGTCCTAAACAGAACTAGCAGCACTATCAAACAACAGATAAACTTCTTGACTGATACCTGTGATTTTAGCCCTTGGTTGGAGTCCTCGCCAACCGGTGTCCTACAGAAAGTTTTGTTTGGTTCAGTGTCCAGCAGCACCGGAAGCAGCCCTGGGGCTGAGAACAGCAAGGCCCACAAAAGCAATGGAAGCTTGTGTGAGGATGTTTTTGGCTCAACCCTTGAAGATCTTCATACCATCCCCTCATAATGTGCTTTGATCAGAAACCTGCAACAAGAAGACAGAAGAAGCAGGAGACAATGAGAAGATGATACAAGAAAAAGTCTACTGAAAAGCATGGCACTTGTGTTGATTTGAAGTAAGGAATGCAAGACCAATGAGCTTCCCTTTTCTAGTTGTGTTCTTTATTTGCTCGTTTTATTGTGTACTATTCACTCTAAAATTATGCACAAAACATGGTGCATGGCTTCAATTAATCACCTTTCTGGGAACAGAAGCATCCTATAATTAAGGTGCTTTATCTGCAGATCTGATGTGATAATTTGATCTGCAGACAAAACAGTGTCTTTCTCAGATATTCTACCGAGTTTCAGAAGTATACTCTACATTTTATCTTGATGATTCAAACACCGAACACTGCATCCAGATTTGTTCTCAGACTTGTCAAATGTGTCTTGGGCCACAACAACATCAAATCTCAGTGTTTTTAGTGACCATTACTCAGTGTTTTGGGTCACAGTAACATCAAATCTCACTATATCTGTGGAAAAGTTTGAGAATCTCCTTCTAGATTTTAAAAGGTGACAGAATCTTGCTTCTCAATGTAGTCTACTAAGTAGCTTCTAGTGTTTAGTCAATCCAATTTCACATTTGCTAAACCCAAATAATTGCACACTTATACCCTTGCAAATATTAACATCCCTACATACATTAAGATCTTCCAAATATATTGATATCGATAAACAAAAAACAACAATTAACACTTTTACAACATAAGCATTTTTAGAGGATATTAATGTGCCAAATGTTGATCAATTTATGAAGATTAATTATGAAGTAATGTAAGCATGTTTTTAGGTTCACAAGAGTACACATACTGGACTTCAAAAATTAACAAGAGATATATGAAAATAATTATCTTAATTTAAATCTTACAATTTCATTAATTTAAATCTTCATCAAGATTCGGACAAATTTTATTAATTTAATTTTGTTAACCTTAATACATGTCACACCCGCCACGGGTCGGTTACTGTGATTGGACCAACATAGTGGGCCCGTCAAGAGGGCCCGCGGGTGTGGGTGTACTGGTATGCCGGAGAGTGCCATCATAAACCCCCATTGGTTTCGACGTTTCCGCAGACCTGCTTTCGAGAAGTCATAGGTTCTTGATGTCTCCTGAATCGTCTTCCTCGTCGTCGAAGAAGAAACGGAGGAATCTGGAGATGAGGGTTGTAGAGAATGCTAATCGAAGACGCGTCACCTTCGCCAAGAGGCGCCAAGGCCTCTTCTCCAAGGCGGAGGAGCTCGGCGCCGTCTGCAGTGCCGACGTCGCCGTCGTCGCCTTTACCTCCTGCGGTAAGGCCTTCTCCTTTGGCGATGACGCCATCCGCCGCTACCTCCGCCTGGCGCGAGAACACGATGGCAATCAAGATGGCAGGGAGGAGTGTGGCTCGGTGAAGGCAACGGGGATGGAAGATCCCGTCCGAAGACTGAGATTTCTTGAGGAGCTCCGGCGTAAAGCAATTGCTCGTGCCGAGGACCTGGCGCAAGCGCGGGCTGAGGCTACCGCGGCCAGCAGCAGCAATGGGAGCACCGAGGCGGGGGAACCGTTCTTGGTCGGTGCAACGACTTCTTGGGGACCGTCCTCACTTGTGGAGACCCCCGTAGGCGACTGC